TACCAAGACACTAACTACACTTGTTGTTTTTATCAAAGTGCTTTAAACAAGGAAAATAAAGGCAATGTTTTTATTTTTAAAAGTTTATTAACAATTAATTTTATAAAGTTTTTGCTAAAATTAGTCGACCCTGGGACATAAAGTATCGAATCTCTCCCTGATAGATGATTTTGTCTACCCCGATCATTTGTCACGTTATTAATAGTGTGTGGGAACTGAATTTATATATTTATTATTAGCATTTAAAAGCAATTTCACTTACGTCATTTTTGGCTTAATGGCAGTGAATTCAACTTAATAGTTTTACAACTTTGGTAATATAGAGACACAAAATTTCACATGTAAGGGTGTCTTATGAATATTATTATCAATTAGGAATATTGAGGAGAGAATCATAATCAGAATATGGGTGGAGAGAAGAGTAGGATGTTGATAATTGTAAATGGCATTAATGGTTAGTCAGACAGATCAAAGATAAAGATGGCTGCTTAATTAATTGCGGCATATGAAAATTTAGTTGCGGTCCACATCTTTAATCAAAAAGCATTGGGATGAAAAAGAGATCATGCTCATTTACGCTTATCGAGTGACATGATTGGAATTAGGGCTGATTAAGGATCGGTCCTTAAAAAAGGAAATAGTGTAAAAAATTTGGAAATGTTGTTAACAAGCCTCAGAGTTCTGATAACCAAATGGGCAATCAAACCTTACTGTTTAATTTTCGACTGCAAAAGTAAAGAAACAAAGAATATGTTTATTTATTATTATGTGTGAAATTATTTCGTCACGCGTAATTAATTTCGTAATTACGTATTAGTATTATTAGTATTACGTATATATTACCGTAAAATCTTGATAGTACAACTGCTTACAGCTGTTTAACAAATGATTTTCAATTGCTTTAAAGTAGGGATGCTATCTTTCGGGGGTATTATCTTTCGAGACTTTACTACGTTTTTGGCAAAACAATTACATTTTTATATTCTTTTTTATAAATAAAAAGATTTTTATAAAAAAAAAATTTCGTGCTAAAGACCGCATTAAAGACCGGTTTTTCAGTACCATGTAAAAAAGACTGGTCTTTGATACCGAGACCGGACCGGACCGGACCGATCCAACACTAGTATTAATATTAATATAATCCCAATCATGTTTTCCCGATGTGATATAAAATTTTCTTTAAATGAAAATTCAAGATTTTTTCATTATTGTGATAGGTCGAGAAATTTTTTGAGAAAGGAAAACTTTTTAAATATTCGTTTGTAGACAAAATAAGTAGACGCACCGGGAAAACCTTAATCTCATTAATATTAACGTTAACACGAATCTCGAATACTGATTGGTGGAGTTTTTGTTTAGGAAATGATACACTAAACTAACCAAAAATATATTAGTGGTGACTTTTTGAGTTTCCTTTTTTGTAAATTATGGTGGTCGTTGTCACCTTTCACTCTTTTTTTAAAGTATTTTTCGAATTGTGGCAAGTAGTACCAATAGTACGAATTTCTCTAATCAGTTAATATTAATATTGAGTATATAAAAATAAAGTTTTTTTTAAAAAAGTTTATTTATTGTAGACGTTACTCAAACTTCTGGGGAGAGTGACACGTTATATATATAAACAAAATTTATTTTTGTATGCACCAACTAAACGAGTTCTTTTTTTTTTTTTGATAGGATATTTTATTGAATAATAGATAACGACATTCCCCTCCAAATCTGTTTTAGGTATGAATAAATAAAGATATTAATATTGGTTATTTGTTTCATGTTCCCCTACATGATATTAAAAATTATTATATGCTTAAATTTTTATTTTTATTTTCTAATTAATTTATTAATTTCCTTGTTTGGGTGTGTGATTATGTGATTTAATTCAAATTTTGTAATATAAATATAACTGAAAAAAAATTTTTTTCAAAAACAAAAAAATTAAAAATAAAAAATTTATTATTTCTTTTTTTAAAACTATAAATTAAAAAAAATGCTTGTCGTTCCAACAATTGGTATGTATTATTGTAAACAAAATATCTGATTCTTTTTTTTGTTTTGTTTTTTACAAAAGTCATATCTTAAAATAAAAACCTTGTAGGGATTCAAGATAATTATTCAATAAAAATGAATATTGACAACTACACCAACTACAACAACTACAACAACAAATACAATAAATTCTCTTCTACTACAAATAAAAAATTTCTTCCATCAGATTGTATTGAAGAAATTTTGAAAAATGTCAATGATAAAGCATCCTTGTTCTCTTGGACCATGGTGAATAGTACTTGGTGTAGTATAGCAATACCACTTTTATGGAGTTGTCCATTTTCAGATTTGAAATGGCCACAAGATCATTATAAAGGGCATCTTTTGATGCGTACATATATTGCATGTCTTCCAAAAGATAAAAAACAACATTTAATTGATGAGGGTTATAATATGATTGATTATTATGGAGAAGCATTATTTGATTATCCATCATTTCTGAAAGAACTTAATATTGGCAATGTACAATGTTCAATTAGTCAATGGTGGAATGATGCAACAGATTATAGATTACGTCATAAAACTAAAGTTCCTGTATTGGAATCAGCTATTTTTGAAATGTTATTCAATAACAATTATGGATTGAGAAGTTTGGATTGTCGATTACAAACTTGTTACAATATACCAAATTTTTCAAGTTTCAAAGGAATTCAACGATCAATTTCTCGACTCACTGAACTTCGAATAGATTGTTCATCAAATGATAATGAAGGTTATATGATTGAATTGATAGATGTTATAATCAAGAATTCACAAAATATCCATGTGTTGGTGATTACTCCACCACCACTTCCACAACAGCAATATGAAACTGATGTACTTTCAAGTAAATTACAAACATTGATTGAATCACAAAATAACTTGGAAGCTATTTATACCATTTCACCATATTCAGGAATATTTGATCCAATAAGATCTGCTTCAATATTTTCAGCTTTAATAAGTCAAACAGATAGTATAACAGAATTAGATCTTAGAAAAATGTTTATTGATTGGAACTCGTTGGAAATTTTAGCAAAATGTTATAATTTGAAATCATTAACTTTGGTAAATTGTCATCAAGAAAAAGATATAAATAATTTCTTGTTCTCGGAACCATCACCAACTTCTTCTTCCTTTTCTTCAATGCATAACAATAATCTATTATCATCAATTACAAAATTAACAATAAATCATGCAACTGATTTTAGTCCTTTATCAGAAATTACAGCAACTTCGATTATAATGATGGCAAGACAAAATTTAAAGGAATTGGTGATCGACTTCATTACACCAGAGTTATCAGAATTTATCAGACAACAGCAAATTCCAAATTTAGATTCATTATCAATAAGAACTTTCCGAATTAATGAATTACAACAATGGTTAAAACAATCAAAATTAGTTCATTTAGCATTAAGTGATGTTAGCAATAACTCTGAATTATTTTCACTCACCAATTCATATCAATTGGGAAAGCTATTGCCAGAAACTTTAAACCATTTACAAATTGAATGTAGATATAACATTGCACCAGAATCTTTAACTATACTATTGGAAAATTCTAATTGTAGAAATTTACAAATTTTAAGTCTTGATGTTGAAATTTTCAATGACACTTTGTTAGAAGTTGTTGCTGATTATTCGCGTGAAAATGGTAGAATTTTAAAAGAGTTGAGAATTGCTAATGACACACTATTAGAATATGATGAAAAATTGCGTAGAAAATTATCAAATGTGATACCCTTTATCAATCAAAATTATATTGACACTTGGCCTATTCTTTCTGGTAAGTTTGATTTAATTCCCTTTCTATAAATTTTTCTGTTGTATAATTAATTATAATTATTAAAGGAATGTTAATTTTTTTTTATTTTTTTTTATTTTAGAAAGGAGAGATCCTTTATGGAAAAGTATGATGAATGTTGTATAAAAAATATATTTTTAAAATAACTCTTATATATATATGCTTTGTTTTTTTTTATCATACTCTCTCTCTCTCTCTCTCATGTATATATATAAACATTCATAAAATGTAAAGGGAAAAATTTTTTCCAATTTACACAATTTATTAAATAGTTTTTCATATATATGTGCATATATATATATATATTCATACATTATAAATAAACATTTTTCATTTTTTTATTCTGTCAAATGTATTCTTAAATGTTGAAGTCTTTCTTGTCTTTGATAAGGTCTCATACTTGTAAAAATATTTCAAACTTCAATTTCTTTTTCGGCTATCCAGAAATTTTTTTATTTCTTTGTTTATCATCACTATCGTTGTTATCAAAACCATCCAGTTTTTCCATTATATTCTTTATATCAAATTTCCAATAAAAATTTTGATAGAAAGCTGTTGGATCACACGCAGTTGAAGGAATGATTAAAAACGCTATATTTAGTGAGTGGATTACGTAGTCTTTATCATTATTATTATCATAAATGTAATCAATTAATATTAAATATCATGTAAATAAAACAAATTAAAATGATTTTTTATATAAACAGCACTTGCGATATTTGTATATATTAAGTTTCGTGATATAAAATTTATGGATTAACGCAAGATCCAATTACAAAAGAATATATCTTTGTAATGTGCATTACACACATTACTTGGAAGATGGAAGTCTTCAAAATGATGAATATTCAAAAGAAAGACAAGAAAGATGTGGAGAATCTCCAAGGTATAATACTTATCCAGCATGGTATCAATCATGTGACCCAAAGTTATTAATTGAAGGATGGACTGGTGGCAATGGAACATTAGATGAATTGATTAAAAGTGCACAACTCGAAACAAAATATTATGACTATGCTTATCATCTTTGATGGATTTCTTAATAAATATCGAAAAGATAGGTGAAGGTGGATTTGCAACTATATACAAAAGCTATTTGGTTAAATGGTAATAAATATAAATTTGGTATAAAAAGATATAGTGGAGTGGCATTAAAAAAAACTACATAATTCACAGAATATTTCTCATGAACTTCTTAACATGATAAATTATTTTATTAATATTAGTCTTCCAGAATCGGAACTCTTGGTTGCAGAGCCAGTCATCTTTACCCTAAAAGTAGGATCGTTACAGATGACTTTTCAGCCAGCATGCTTATCCGTGTAATGCAAGTCCAGGTGTGCCAGGGAAGATAAATTCCAGAGCCACGTCCCCCCTGAAAGTTAGTTACATCATTGTATAATCGGGGCACGCTGGTCAGATTAACCTTGTGAACATGAGAAACGTGTGAGAATGACCACAAAGCATTCAAGATAGCGTGTGTGTGTGTGCCTTGATGTCTGCAAGATTTCCAATAATCAAACGTTACATGTTGAACTGTTTCTTCTGTAACAGTTGTGCTGCCTTGACATTTTAATATTTTTAATATTATTATTATTATCATTAATCATATGAAAAGCAAAACGATACCAATTATTTATTTATTTATCAAGAGTCTTGTGATAAATACCTAAATACACAACAAGTTCTGCTCTGCATATTGATTTCAATAAGACATTTTATAAAATAAAAGGCCCACAAAAAAAAAATAGTATCCTTCTGTTAATTAATAAACAACACATTGTCTTCTTTAGGAGAGTCATATCAAGCAACATTCACATTTCCTCATCTTGTAAAAAATAAATTGTTTTCCCAAAAAAAATTTTTCAACAAAATCAATCGCCAATAGAGTTGTACAACCCATACGCGCAATTAAATAATTAGTGTATACGTGTATGACGATAACACCATTTTTTTTTATTTTTTAAAAAAAGAAGCTACCACCAAAAACAAAAGAAAGAGAAGTCAAGGATTTATAACAGCAAAAAACTAGTGTTATTATTTATTAGTTATTATTAAAAAGAATGATGGTAGTAGTTGCAATCATTGCAACGCGTTGTGATTAACAACTAGATTTGTCTAAATCAAGAGGACGATATCATGATGGGATACTCAATGTCGATATTAATGGAATAGTATCCTATGTATATAGGATTTCTAGAAGTTGTGGGAAATGCTGTAATTAAGGATAATCGTAAGATGCTAAGAGATTGACAGGAATTGTTAAAAGTAATGCCTTTGGCCTTTCATGAACTTCAAAAAATTTTATATAATAATGGAATTGTTGTTGATGAAAATGTCTTTGAAAGTTTGGAGGCATACGAATATTGGTGTATAATAAGTAAAATGTTTTGTATAATTACTGTTATTGAACAACACATATACTAAATTTTTTTTATGACTAGAAAAAATATTTTGATCAAACATTTTTCTTTTTCTTTTATCATCATTGTTAAAGCCACCACATTTGATATAACATCATTCAACAACAATAACATAGTAATGATTAGTTTCGTTAATAATTAATTATTGAAACTGTAAAATTTTTTGAAAAGATATTTCTGTTGGCAGGTTAAACTTGCAGAAAAAATGTCAAAGATACAATTTTTATGTTAGTTTTTAATAAATACTTACAAGGTAAAAAACGTTTATATTTACATTTTATAATAATATAATTAACCTTTTATCAATCCATCAGGACCATCACAGATGTTAATAGAAAATTTATAGATGATGTCATCCAAAGAAAAAAAAAATAATGAGATAGTATCTTATGAAATAAATTTTTTCCTTTGTTGGGTATAAAAATTTTTTGACCTTTGTTTAATATATATAATGAACGTCTCCTTCTATTGCCTATTACTATAGTAATAGTGAACAAAGGCACAAAGAATACATATATGACAAGAAGGTTCGTTATTGAGAGAGTGAACTGTGTATATATATATAATTTTTTGGTAGTCCTCCATAATTTTAAACGATTGACGTTTCTCTGATTTATTCACGAATTGTTAATTAAATCTTTTAGATCGGTCTTGTAGGTTCCTTCATTTCATTTATAACTTCATCAATAAGTTTATATTGATTTTCAAATTTTCCCAAAAATAAAATATCTATTTTAAACAATACATAAAAAAATTTAATATGCGAGTGTATGTATGTACTTCTTAATTCAATTTCGTCACGTAGCAGTGACTACATATTTTAGTTATTCATCTCTTTCGTCTATTTATTATTATTATAATACGAATTATCATGAGGTTATTTAGTTTTTTAAAAAATTTAAAATTTTATCTCGCATTAATTGGTTTCCTTTTTATCCTTTTTTACTAATAGTAATATCCCAACATCAGCATTAACAACAACAACAATAATATCAACACCACCATTGTCAACATCAAATGATTTGACACCAAATACTAAAAAGAAGAAAAATAACAATAACATTGGTAATTAATAATGCTAACCGATCGTAAAACAATTTATTCATAATATTAAATAGTAAAATAACAATAAATTTTGATTGATTATTATCATTATAATTATCAAAAAACACAGTAACAAATGAAGTTAATGAGGAATTAAAAGTGGAAATTAGAGAAGCTTTTGAATTATTTGATACAGATAAAGATAATGCATTGGATTTTCATGAATTAAAGGTAATAATAAGTCATTATTATTATTATTATTATGACGATTTAATCACAACAAATTTTCTATTATTAATTCACTAACAATTTTTATTTTATTCTTCCATTCTTAAACAAGGTAACTATGCGAGCCTTAGGATTTGATGAAAAAAAACCTGAAATATTAAAAATTATACGTCAACATGATAAAACTGGTGAAGGGCTTATTTCATATGATGATTTTTATAAAGTTAGTGAGTATTTTTCTTTTTTTTAGTCTATTATCATTTATATAGAAAATATAAACATAAATCTATTTTCATCTATTGATATATATATTTATTAGTGTCTGAAAGAATTTTAAATAGAGATCCTTTAGATGAGATTAAAAGAGCATTCCAATTATTTGATGATGATGGTACAGGAAAAATTTCATTAGAAAATTTGAAAAGAGTTGCTAAAGAGTTAGGTGAGAATATAGATGAAGATGAACTTCAATCTATGATTGATGAATTTGATTTTGATGAAGATGGTGAAAGTAAGTTTATTTTCTTTAATAATAAATAATAATAGAAAATCATAAATAATAATAATAATAATAATAATAATAGTAATAATAATAATAATAATAATAATAATAATAATAATAATAATAATATATATATAATTAATAGTAAATGAGGAGGAATTCATCAAAATTATGATGGATGAGTGATGATGATGTATTAAGCTTAATATAAGAAAATAGAAGACGAAGTAAAATATTAACTGATTATTATAAAGACTAATTGGGATTCAAATAATCTGCATAATACGAATATATAAATGGCTTTTTTCAAAAATTGATATTTTCTTTTTTTTTGAAAGTTTTTAAAAAGATTAATAGATAATTAAGGAGATAAATAACTTATTAATAAATATAATATGTTAATAAACATAATTATATCTTTTTAATATAATATTATACAAACGTGAATTACCGATCATTTATATATAAAGAGCTTAAAGATGATGGTACTGCTGTTGCTCATGGCGAAGGATTAAAAGAAGAGTTAAAGAAAGCACAAGACGAATTTAATGCTAAAGAACAAAAAAATAGTCTTCTTGTTGGTCTTGAAACAAATTTGGATTAAACTTTAAAAAATTTAAAAGATACTACTGAAAGTAATTATTATACAATAATAAAGTATTTTTATTATATAATTATATAAATTATTTATATTACATTGGATTTTAATATCAAAGTTTGAAAATCAAGATCTAAACTTGAAAGGAACAAAGAAATATAATGAATTGATACTTAATCATCACGTGGCTGCAGCCAATAATTGTAATAATATGATAATCATGTGAATTTATTAACAAGTAATTTTGGCTAACATGTATGTAATGAACATATAGTATTAGTATCTAAATTAACAAATATATGCTTGAAGATCTTGCT